CTCGATCCCAGGACCCTGAGATCATGACCTGAGCCGAAGGCAGACGCTTAACCATCTGAGCCACCCAGGCGCCCTCATGACTTCTTTTTAAATTGAGATCGTATTCACATACCATAAAATTCGCCCTTTCAAAGTATATATATTCACGAAGTTGTGCAACCATCGCCACTCTAATTCCAGAACATCTTCATCAGCCCAAAGAGCAACCCATGCCTATCGGCAGTCCAAGCCAATTTCTGAAGAGGAAGGCCTTCTGCTCCAGGGTCCTAGGGGTGATGGTACTAAAGAAAGAACAGGTGTGGTGGGGGTACTGACAAAATGCTCCCATGGGGAGGTGAGCTGAGAGCACAGAATCTCTGACTTTGGTTTCCAGGCCAGCCCTCTGAATCTCTTTATGAGTTATTCATGCCCATTCCCATAGACAGCGATATCCTGATTCAGCCCAGACCAGACTCATTGTAGAGGGTAAAGGGCAAAGGAAGGAGGGCACCATGCCTGCCCATGAGGGCACCTGTCATTTTAAAAATTCAAGATAATTGCAGAATGACAGCTTCTTCCTTGGCTTTTTTCCCTGTCCTGGCAGGATCTGACACGGGAAGGCTAAAACACAAAACCAGGAACTTATTTACTTATGCCATATCTGCCCTAGCTCAACCAATGAAGAACCAAAGGGCACAGGAAATGTTTTGTGGATTTCATCACCAATGGGGCTGGGATCAGAGCTTGAAACACCAATGTAATCATGTGGGTCTGGATGTTAGCAGAGTATCTCAAGAAGAATGTCAGAAACTGCTCTACAATGTAAGCCTTCCCTGAGACTCCCAAGAAGTACAGATGGGAGGTGATGGTTACTCTACTACACGGCTTCCTGAGGGCTATGGAAGAGGCTCAGACAGAACCTTTGCCACAGTGTACTCATAAAACAAATGCCAACAGAAGCCTTGACAGCCATGTCAAGATACCGTGGGTGGGATGGGCACCACGGCCACCATCACACCGTGGGACCAAGATCTCCAGGAAGGGAAGGCTCTCCTTACTTTCAGCATGTCCATTCTTCCCCTACACAACATTCACATCTCTCATCACCTCCCAAAATTCTGGAACTGCCTGGAATACACAGAAAGCAGGATGCCATTTATTCTTGTACACAACGAAGATTTTTGGAGCACACTCTAATGGCCACATTCAGCAAACTGTGCTAATGATCCCTATTCTCAAGGAGCCTTTGATCGAGTAAAAGACTGAAGACATGGCCATGACTAAGTACCCGAAGCAGTAACAGCAGTGCTGAGTGAGGGGATGGCACCCGGCTGGACAGAAACCCATGGGAAGGGATATAATGAGAAGAGATGCTGGAGGCAACTCCAGATGAAGAGAACAATGTGTACAATGAAACTGCAGGATGATGCCTATTGGCAGAAGGGTGGAGTTTGTGCAGAGGAGTTGTGGAGGACCAACAAAGGCTAGAGATGTAGATTGATGTCAACTGTGAAAGGTGTGAACGCCAGTTTAAGGAGTTCTGAGCTAATGGAAAGTCACCCATGGTTTTAATAAGCAGAGAAGTGAATGAGGCCACAATTTAGAAAGATCAAGCAGACCCAGAAAGAGAGTAGCAGACTGACTGGACTCAATCCCAATCTCAGGGTAACCCCAATCCTATATTCTGCAGGGACCAAAATACTGACCTGGAATTCAAGAGACCCAGGTCTAGACTAACTTTGAATGAGCTGCCTAGCTTTGAGTGTTCTCATCTGTATAAGAGGGAGCTGGATAGAAGAATTTCAGGATCCTTCTGTAACTTAATATTCCATGATTCTAAGTCCAGAACAGTGTGCTTCCCATGACCACCTAGACAGACGATCATTTCAATGTGCCAAACAACGTCCAATCTTTTCTCAGGTCGAACCCACACTCCACCTCCCCTTTCCCTCTGAGCACAGGGTGGACAGGTTTGGGATATTTCATCAGAGCCTTTAAGAGCCAGGCCCATTTTCAGACTGGACCTCAGGCTAGTGAGAAAGGTTCTCATTCATGCTGCTGCAGATATGTGGTTTCTAAGGAAGAAATGTTGGGAGCTTCTGCATGTAATAAGGAACCAGGAGATGGGACCTCAAACAGAGACAGACATGCTAGAGAATAATCTGGGAGGGGGAAAGGCACAGAGGAGAGTGAGATAGGATCACTTTTAAATTAGCCTTAGTTATTGTTCTTTGTTTTTTTAAGATTTATTTATTTATTTTAAAGAGAGAGAGCACACATGGGGTGGGGGGAGGTAGAGGGAGAGAAAGAATCTCAAACAGACTCCCCGCTGAGCGTGAAACCTGATGCAGGGCTCAACCCCACAACCTTGAGATCATGACCTGAGCTGAAATCAAGAGTCAGACACCTAACCGACTGAGCCACCCAGGGGCCCCCTTAGTCATTGTTCTAATATTAGTTTGTGTGCTGTGAACTTGTAGCACTGTCTCTTTGTGGGGTTAGCTTAGGATACCCAAAGCTTGCTACAAAAGTTCATTTTCCAGACATAACCACTCCCTCACACCGTCCAAGTGCCCTGCCCCTTCTTTAGGTGTCCCCTCATGCTGAGCATCCCTGAACTGAGCTGCTAAGACAACACAGCCTATTAGCATCAGAATTTCCCCAAAAGACAACTTCATTGAGCACCAGATCCATGATGTCCTCTTTCAAAGAATTTGGGAATTTTAAGTCAAATGTGGATTTGAAATGGAGAAATTCTCAAAGATCCCTTCATTCACAGAGAAACTTAGAAGGGCTTTGAGTAGTCCTGGCTTTCTGGGCCCCTTTTTCACTCCTGGCAAGGCTGGGTTTCAAGCTGAACCCAGCTAAGTAGTAATGAGGTTGCTCAAGTGGTGAGGTCAAGCCAGAAGGAAGCATTAACTTGTCAATTCTTAGCCTCATGTTGAGGCATTGGATGAACTGACCATGCAGTCTTTCAAGGTTGAGGGTGACACCCCCTGATGGCCATTACTGACTATCAGGATTTTCAAACTTGCTGTTAATCTTAGAAACTCTTCCTCCAAACCCAATCTCATACAGCTTCTCAGGAGGTTCCCAGAGCCGAGTTAGAAAAGAACTCGATCAGTTGGAAGACAAATAAAATGCACTACCACGAAACTCCCTGCTCTTAGGGGACTGGAGGAGGGTAATCTATATATTATCAGTTTTGCTTGGTTGTTTTTCAATTCTGTTAAGTGTGATATTGTGACTAGCCCCATATTCTTTACGAAAACCTTCCAAGGGAAAGGGACTATCGCTAAAAACATGCTATGTGAGAGGCCGTTCTGAGTTTCCCTATGTGATGAAACTTATAAGCTCAGGACTTTAGCAGTGATAAGCCAATTGTTCCAAACTAAGAATAACAAATGGGTCTTGTCCATCAGTGACTATCATGAAGGTAACCAAAGGTAAGCCCATGATATAATTACCCCTTTTCTTCCATTCTTTTTCACTTTCCTTCCCACCCTACCCCCCACCTGCCCAATTTCAGAGTTTGAAAGATAGAGATGGTAGGTGTAGTTTCCCACATGGTCTCATTATGGTCTTCCAACTGAAACTATTAACAGTGGCATTAACTTTCAACATCTTTGTAAGAAAATAACCTGCTTAAATCAGGGGTTAATAACAGTAGAGGATCACTAATTATCCTGCGAATCTTTACCCTGGTATCAAACGTGACCCAAGTCTTTAATGTCTCTGGAATGGCAGCCTCTAAAGACCCCAACTTGTTCCGTAACATAATGACAGCAGCACATTAGTGTCCTGGCCATCTGTGAAGAAAGATAAAGGACAGATGAAGAGCAGACAAAGGAGAAGAATGCAAAGAGGAAGGACAAAGTCAAGAGAAGTAAGAAAAGGAGACGAGCCAGAGAAGCGATGTCCCTTGGGCTGAGTTGGCTGGACCTCTACACCTCTCGCCATGGGGACCATCTGGAACGGAGTTCTGAAATGATACAATCCCACAGCCCAGAGTGAGAAACCCATAAGATAAGATGCCCTGCTGGGCCTGAATTCAAGGAGCACAGATGCCAGAAACACCCGACTGCTTGCCTGAAGTCTGTGCCTACGGAGGCCTAGCTTAGTGAACAACAAAATGGGAGACAACATAGCCAGGAAATTCTTTTGTCAAGATGTTCAAAGTCCAACTGGGACTGGGGCTCTCACTGTGCTTCCTCTATTCAACTCACTGTCTGCCATGGGGCTGTTTCGTATCATCTCATGGCTTGAGCCATGGCCACAGAGCTATGCAAGGAAACACTTTATAGCAAAAGGCTTAAAATTTCAAGAATCTCTTTTTCAAGTAAGTAGAACCTTCTTGACTTGCAGATTTGGAAGAGAAATTTTCACTTGTGACCAGAAGAAGGATAACTGAATTTCTATTTCCTCTGCTTGGTGACATTTACTCTCAAAAAAGAAGAGCGCCTCAAAGCATTAATGATCCAGTGATGAGAAATGGAATGGCAGGCTGAACGGAGCACTGGATGGGGGAGCTGGGAGAATAAAGCTGCTATAACCTCTCTGGAGCTCACTTTTCTCAACCTCAGATGATGGGATCAGAAGGTCTCTAAAGACTTCCCATCTGTGATCATGGTATTCCATGACCCAAAACCACACATGACACTTTGGTTCTAGTTACACTCCAAATCAGGTGCAGACTGAGTATATTTCTGTATGCCAACTGGATAAGACTCTGCAGAGGTTTTTCAAATCAGACTTTCCTCTTGGAGTCTGGGATGCTTCTAGGTCAGTCTAGCCTGTCAACTTATAGACTAAGGATTGGCGGTATGGACACTCATGATAGTGACCTCTGGAAACTCCAGTCAGTGGTCCCCAGTAGTAAAGAACCATCCACATACAGATGCCTCCAAATGGTTTCCAACGAGTTATCAACCTTGTATGTTTATGTGGACAAGGGTAGTCTCAGTAAGAAAACGTCACCTGATCTCTCTCGGCAGCCCCACCTTATAGAGCAATCCTTTAAACATTAGAAATGCTCATTTCCTTTAAGGCTAGCCATCCACTCCACTTCTCTTTTTCCAGAAGAGGTTTAAGATGGACTAAAATGAACCAACACAGAAAGCAAGAGTGATTAGAGAAAGAAAGAAGGACTCTTGACAGTCCATGGTTTGTTGTCTCTGGGGCCAAGTGGTGGCAGAGGATGCAAAAAAAACAGAAGGTAGATTTTAAGATCAGATGTGATGGAAAGCAGCAAAGCTTTCTATGGATGCTGCTGGAAGTAGGTCACTCTCTGCTACTCTGTGCTGGCATGAATAGCAATCAAGCAACTACACGAACATTCTATTTACCTAGCCATGGAGATGAAAACATTCCTGTGGCAGAAAAATGCAGCCAAAAGGTTCTGACACAACCAGAGAGATGAGGAAGCATTCAAATGGCTTATGATTTCATCCAAAATGGTTTGCTTGTTCCGACTACAGTGTTTCTCTGGATCTTTTCAAACCTCTGCAAAGAGTTAATCCACATGATACTCATTAAAGTCTCATTTGAAAGGGAAAAAAAAAGAAAAAAAGCCCAAAGCTCTTTGAAAAAGGCAGGGTTATCTGAGCCGCAGATGTACTGGTAAGAAAAATTTTAAATATATCCAGCTCTATTCTCCACTACCACCTGACTGACCTTTGTAAATTGAGATAACAGCATGCATTTAACAAAATCTGACATCAAGTAAGATGTGTAATAATATTTAAACTCAGTAATGTTAAAATATGTATTTACGGATCATTTCATACATTGTAATGAGAATAAGTCATTTTGAAGCCTGCGGTTTCATGACTGGAATTCT